AGTTGAGCAACGATTCTCACAACCAATCAATGGAAATATCTAATTGCTACATTGAGTTGTCACAATTGTTTTTTCACTTACCGGTGAACTGAAACAATAATAATTTGGCATGTTAAATGCTATTACACCGCGTGACGATTTAATTTGCGTGGCTGTATCGGTTGGCGGGGTATCTGGCCAGATCATTATGGCCTCACCAAATAACCTATTAGAATCTTGACATTGGCTGTGAAACCTAGGTCTTTAATTCTTTTAGATATTTTTTTCGCCTGACAGCATCGCCTGCAGCCTTTCATATGAGCGTGAAAGTGGTGGTAGCAGCAGCAGTGGCTCATGGGATCTTAACAAGCTTCTCGTCGTACGCATCACCAGTCGATGCTTTGTTGTGTGTTTTGGCCCCGTGTTCCAATTGGATGGGGCCACTTGGGAGAGATCTCTGTAAGTGCGCTGGGGTCCGACGTCTTGAGGCCGTTTACGAGCAAAGAGCACGCAGCACTCGCTGTTATCACCGCCACTGCGCAGCCGCCACAAAACGAGGCCCTCTCTGCTCTTGTCAAAATGTTGCGGAACCCGCCAACCTAAAGCGCTGCTTTCGTGAGCCCACAATGTTATTCCTTTGTTTTTCTTCCAGCGACCAGAGCTTCATTGCCAGATGAGTGACTTTTCTTAAATACAGAGACAGCAGCGTATGTGGTGACAATTTACCCTTAAAACGTTTACATGGGAGGATTGGTGTCGCGGAAGTTCATGCACTGCGCTATGAATCCGGCGAAGTTAATTCGCCGGATTCACTCCCGGCCACAGCTAACATCAGTGTCCTGGGCCTCCTCATCCTTTCCCCGCACCTCCGGTTAGGACGGTCGGCTACATACGGTGCGAAAGAAGTTAAACATACGTACATCATCAGCCTGCACTGCCCGAATGGTGAAATTTTGTCAATCAATTAATTATGATGTGAAGAGGCCTTCATCCAGCAGTGGATTGACAAAGGACTGTAAATTATTCTATTATTATTGCTTTCATACAGAGATATATCTGAAGGGGAATTTTAAGTTGTGGAGGATTTTTGTTTCATATTTTTCTGCCCAATTAAAAGCACGTGTTGTAATAAATGTCTTGTTTCCTATGCCGGCTGAATACAGAGATCATTATATGTTGTGTTTTTTTTTGTTTTCACAAGGTTGAGATATTTCTTCATTAAACCTACAGGTTGTTCCCCCATAGGTCTCTAGCCTTTAGGCCCCCAAGTGTGGAGACATTGAGCCAGAAGCAGTCCATCAAAGTGCTTTATCACAACAGCGTTAGGCTCTTCACTACTGTCGCCCCATTTATCGGGCAATTAATAAAGTAAATAGCACGTGTGTGAGCTGGAAGATGACAGAATAGCCCATCTATGGGAATAATATGACGTTCACGGCAGACAATGATTAACGGAGTGTTAATGCATTGGGGGGTTTTTATGTTTCTGCTAATCCGGTGGATTTTGACGGCAGCTTGGTGGTTAATGTCGGTCACGGAACCCTGAAGGCCTCCGCCATTAGCGCCGCTAATTATCGGCAACGCATCACACCTTAGCCTTTGCAGACAACACGGCTTGGTTCTCAAGCGCTTTCGGCAGACCGTGTCAGGACAAAAGTCTGGCTCGACGGAGCTGTGAGTCACGGAGTTTTCCAGGGTAGAGTATTGGCGGGAGTGGTCACTAATAAGCGGCTGTGCACCAGGGTACATGCTCCTTAAGCAAGGAGTGGAGATAAGTCAGGTCCAAGTCAAACATATCTCGAGGCAAATAATTCTAGACCAGTAGGTAAAATCCACATTTCTCATAACGTGGAACAGTTTCACCACAGGATGACCACTGTTGACATTCTTAAAAGTGGTGCTTCATGTGTTGACCACGGCTGAGTGGACCCTCAATTGGGTTTCAAACTCACAACCGCCTGGTATTGTCTGAGTTCTCTACCCGCAGTGTACCGGCCGGTGGAGAACCCCATGGCAATGAGCACATCCAGAAACAACTTGTATACCAAGGCATGCCTTCCCAGAGTCAGAATAGAATCTTCAGCAACTAACAATACCTGTGTAATACCTATAACTGCAACCAAACAACGTTTTAACCCCCATTTTAATACACTTTATATGTAGTCATGCGTCTGTGTTGTAGAACATGTTTTTGGTCAATTAATGTTATTGATTTTTCTTTGAGAATCATAATGCCCCTTACCCAGGAATGCCTCACTGGGACTCAGGACTATTTCCCGAAGGTTCTGCATTGAAATGTTTGGCGAGTCCAAGAATGAGTGTTTAACGTGTGCGAGGGTCCCCCCCCCCCCACCCCCCTTTTTCCTCCCCTCTTCCCTTTCCCCCCCCCCTCTACCCTAGGTTTCCCTCATCTGGTCGGTTATATTTCCCCGTGCATCTTCTCCCCCCTACGTGGTGTCCCCACTTGGCTGGGGCAGCGGGCCCCCTCTCCCCATCTTTCACCCCCCCCCCCCCACATGGTGTTCTAGTTGCGTCGGGGAGCATCTTCCGTGAATTGCGACACCCGGTCACGCGAACCGCGCGGCGTGCTGCGTCGGGCTCGCGTGTCGTTCCAACGAAAGCGGCAACAGCAGAAGACAAACAAGAACACGACGGAGAGGATACCAGAGTACCCAGGGAACCCCCGAACATGAGAGGCAGAGCACACCGAGCACCGCACAGATACATTCAAGGATCTCTATTCTGATACTGGCATGGCCAGACCGCCTCGCAGACCAAGCCAATGATGTCCAGTATTTCCTGGCAGTCTCCCATTCAAATACAGCAGTGGTTCTCATTGCGCTTACTAATCTCTATTGGCGTGCACGAGATGCAGTGGACGATCTCTCTCTCTCTCTGGGCCATTCCATCCTTTCACTCCCACTCCACGGTGAGTCTCAACCACTGGCCATCATCCCATCTAGGCATGACGTGTCCTTCCCAATTGCACTTACTTTGCTTATTCAATATTAAACATCCCTTAATGTCGATGAGCGTAACTTTTTTAAAAATGCCAAAGAATTTGTGGTAAGTAGCTGTTCACTTTTGGAAGGAGGCACATTTGTGCTAAAAAAAATTCCGGAGGAATTTTGGTCCAATGGCCCACCAGCTCACCATAATTGGATAAAACTTAAAACAATGGGAGCTGCTGTCAATGGCAGAGCCAGGATTTTCAGGTAGGGGGGGGGGGGTAACCCCTCCAGCATTGAATAATGATAGATAGGAGTTGTTAGTAGTAAGTAAGGACTTGTCCCTTGCTTTTTATTCGACGCGTGTGCGGCGATGGCGCAGACATCGATCGAGGGTCGAATTCGAACCGCGTTGTGTGATCGGCATCGCGCTCGCTGAATGTGAATGCCTTCAGGGAAGTCGTGGACTGAATACGCAACTGCGCACAAATCTGAGTCACTTATAACTGCTTTGCCGTTACTTATTGCCAATTATGGACTCAGACTATTGTCCTATCATTTCATAGAGTCCCTGGCACGTAATAATATGCTACACAGTGGCAGTGGGGGTCGCAAAATGCCGATTTATTACTAATAAACCACAATGATCCGATCGAAATTAAGGATTTCGATCGGATCATTGGGGGGGGGCACGTGCCATCCCACCCCCCACTGTCTCAGCCAGTGGCTGCTTTGACCGTTATACGAAATATAACAATGATATTACAATATCGGCACTGGATGAAAAGATGTATACATGTTAGGATGACTCTGATGAACCCCATATGCGGCTCAATCTTGATTGAGTATAGGATGTAGTGTAGTTTTTTACACTATGAGCCTAGAGGAGGCTGATGGTCCTTTTAAAGGTAATTTCTCCTGCACGGTATCCATGCTTCAGCCTGCGCCGGTTAAGTACCACTGAAGTACAGTATTAATCAAGGCTTGAACCCTCGTTAGCTCGTGCAATCTGAGAAGATCGGTTGCATTCTGGGTGATTTGGCTGCAGGCTAAACGGTAATATCACACTCAGGTCTCACGAAAAGAGAATATGAATCTCGATGGACTCCCATCCCCCTTAAATCAAGGACATTCAAATACGGCTCTGTCCACTCTGTCACTTGCAAGATACCCTCGTGCTTAGATTTGTGTTAGGAATAACTTGGGGTGCCACAAGGACAAAATATTAATTACCTCGCTTGCTATGCAGGAGGTCGTGGGTTCGATCCTGACCCTGACGCCTGTATAGTTGGAGTTTGCATGTTCTGCCCATGGTCGTGTGGACTTTTCCTCCGGTTTTTCCCTCCACATTTAGAGTCATGCGTTTAAGAGTATTGGGCTGCTATAAATGACACTTCGTTGAGCTATAATTTATGGTCAGGTCGCTTCTGAAAAGGAGACATATATCTCAGTGGGTCTTACCTAGTAAAACAAAAATAGTAGTTAATAGTTTGTTTATAAATCCAGATTGTTTTTACATACACTCTATAATGAACGTGTTTTTACGATTATATTTTGTGCTTGTTGAGTGGAGAGGTTTTTTTTACTAATTTTATTGGCTATCTGAATTGGAAAATGATGATCTTGTGTTGTGTCTGCTTGATGTGACTGACAATTGAGCATTGTGTTTATTCATTGGCCCTCTTAAAATGTAAAGTTTTGAGTCTTCATGGAATCTTTCATTATAATTCATATAGTTCCAAACAACCATAGCTTTTTTTCCAGTTGTTATAGTCGGTTGACTTATGACCTTTGAAGAGTTCTCATCAACATGTCTTTATGATTGCCAAATTTAAACGTGGATAAAGAAATGTCATCACTAAATATGTGGCTTTAATTACCAATTAATGATTGCGATTTACTTTTACCTAGTTTGGATTCAACTAAAATAATGTACAATAATTTGGAACGTTGCAGTTCACTGTCAAAATCGTGGTAATCAATGTTGACTCAGAGCCAGACATTTGCAGAGGTCTTGCCAGTGATTGGCTGCTTTTGTTAATTGCTCCTCTCCTTGTCACCTAACAATGGCAGCTGGCAGGGATGGGCCCGGCCCATTTTCTCAGACCGGTGAGTTTGGCATTGCTTTGCATTTGCGGAGTGCTGCAGTGCTCAGGTGACTTGTGTTTGAATCCAATGGAAGGGCCGAATTATTAAGAGGGAGACGATGTTTCCAGTAGAAACTAAAGGCAGCCAAGATCGCTGTCCTAAAAGTGCAGGCCTGGGAATGTGGGCACAGAGTGTGACTTGTGAGCTTTAATTGGAAGCTAGAGTACACTCCAATATGTTTGTACATTGAGCCGTTGGTTTCAAACTTAGCCCATGAGTAGCTGGTGCATATGCAAAATTAACATCCCAGCTCATCGCTGCTTTCCATGTGTGTCTGTAGTTCACATAGACGTGTACGTACCTGCTTAATAGATACCAAATAATGTCACGCTACTTGTATCTGTATAACCAATTACAATTTGGTTTAGCTCTCTTGGTTTGCAAGTAGTTACTGGAGATGTTTGGTGGAACTGCTTTATGCAGTGACATTAAATGACTTTGATCACGAGCAACATTGCAGTTTTTCAGTTTTATGTGAGTGTGTACTTTCCTTCGAATTTTTATTTGCCAGAAGCTCATTGTCAGGGATCTAATTTTCATTCATTGTGATATGCCACTGTATCTGATCAATCAAGTTTAGTTGTTTTTTTAACCAGGTGAGAACTCAGGAGACAAGGAGAGTCTCATATACAAAATTACCTGGATTCAGTGACGCATGAGTAAATGGAGAGCTATGGGGGGAAAAATGGATGGAGCTGGCTTCATAAACATTTACTTGATTTGACCAGGTGGTTCATGCAGTTCTCAATGCTTATCTCAAAGCACTGAGCCAGCACCATTGAGATCCTGGGTTTAAATTATTATGATGATGCTTTCTTCCCAGTCTCCATTGGCTATTTGTTTCTTTTTAGAAACTAACGTAGTTTTTTTTTCTCTTAATTTTGCCTTTGCTCAGCTGTGTAGATTTAAATATATTTGCTTACTCTATTGGTTGATTGACATGTGGAAACCCACTTTTTACAGAGCATGAAGGAGAACCGTCTCGTGTTGGATAAAGAAGGCCTATTAAAGTGATTTCATTAGTACTTCCTTAATATCATTGCCCTGTGCTTTTCCTTAACAATATGTGTGATGCTTTACTGATTGAAAGACTCCCAAGGTGGATGTTTTATCACTTAATAGCATGGCTGGTGGTAAGATCTAACAGCAAATATTGTAAATGCAATATAATTTGAATTTACAAAGCATCTAACAGTTATTTGCCATTTGCCTTATTTTTTTAATGGTTTTTATTTTTACAGAAAACTAAAATGTGAAAATTGTAAGTCCAGATTAATGTGTATTTCAATGACAGGGTAATACTAGTGCTGGGAAAATGTAATGTGTATCCTTTATCATGTTACCATTATTACTGATACTCAATCTTCAACATGTAATAAGATTGTCATTACTTAGAGATCAGATGATTACTTGTTTTATGATTACTTAGATTTTTTAAAAGTAAAAAAAAAATCTGAAGTAATTAAAACTAGAAAAGGATCTTGTCAGTTTGGCTTAATGCAAGGACAGCAGCAAATTTATACAGACTGTACCACAAAGCCTACAGTAAGAGTGTAGTGCTGCGAATACTGAAGCTAAACTAATGTCATACATATTAATTTGAGGAAGCAATCATGAAAATAATCGAGCAATCAGATCATGTCACTTTTAATATACCAATATTAGAATTTGAATTACATCTAACACCTCGAGTAAACCATAATCAGAGGCTAAATATGTTTTGAGTCACCCTCCCAGCAGCACTCTGGCCACATGGCCCAGCCACACGGTTCTTCTCCGTGCCGAATCGTTTGTGTTGTTCCCCAGCTGTGTGAGCACAACCCCAGGGACAGCTTCTGGCTCCCAGCGTGTGCGTTAGTGGCACCAGGCCAAGCTGTCATGGGCAGAAAGATGAAATGAATGCACTTGCTGTTTAGAATGGGAGGACAAAGAGATAGGAGTGGGGGAGATTGATGGCTGGGCAGAATGTACATGTGATGGATGTACAGATGCACAGGTGTTTGGATGAATACATTATGGACGGATGGACAAATTGATGAATGGATGGACGGGTGGATGGGTACATACAGTAAAACCTCTGCAAGCCAGGACCAATTCACGGGACAGCCTGTCCGGTTTTGGAGGAATTCCGATATATTTGAAATAATTAAATAATGCATTATTATTATTAACCTAATATTACATTTACACACAATTAACACTCAGTATTACTACGTTTGTAAATAACTAAATATTAACAATTTAATATTTACTGATTAATAACACTTTAAAAAAATCACCGCGTATTGTTCAGTTAAAGCCAAGTCACTTGCCATCACCGGTAAGGCTGATTCTCATGGGCTTGAAAGAGTTTCTTTTTCGTGAAATAAATCTACAGAAGAGAAGGAGAGAGGTCCGGAGCAAACCACGTGCACGAGTGCGGCATTCTGTACAAACGTTTTGCTGCCAATCTTAATTGTGATATTTAATTCTAGATTTGAAGCTTTCGTGACTGCAAGAAGTCATACTCTTTGGTTTTATTCGGTAAAGTCAAGTAGGTAAAAAAAACAAATAAAAATAAAATAAACAATTAAAACACGACGTTTCGGCCACAACACAAGTGGCCTTCTTCAGGTGACAGTTCTGTGCCTTCACCTGAAGAAGGCCACTTGTGTTGTGGCCGAAACGTCGTGTTTTAATTGTTTCTTTTATTTTTAATTTGTTTTTTTTTACCCACGTGACTTTACCGAATAAAACCAAAGAGTATGAATTGTGATATTATTGAAGTTTTCGTCACTGCAGGGATCCATACTCTTTGGTTCTTTCGGTAAAGTCACGTAGGTATAAAATACATTAAATCACAACGTTTCGATTGCAACACAAGCAATTATGATCAGGTTGGAAAACCACAGCAAGAAAATTTTTTTGCATAAAATAAAAAAAATACAAAGATTATTTTTTTGCAAAAAAAATTCTTGCTGTGGTTTTCCCACCTGATGATGATTGCTTGTGTAGCAATGGAAACGTCGTGATTTAATTTATTTTATTTTATACCTACGTGACTTTACCAAAGAGTATGTGATATTACTACTACTACTACGTCTTGTTGCTTTCTCCAATTATGCAATCGACGCGAATGGCAAAAAATGAAGCTTGATAGACGGACTTTCGCTTTGCAGACGACCTTTCACGAATGTATCTGTTCCATATGTCGAGGGATGTTCGTACTTAAGGCGTCCTTGTGCTGCGTGTGTGTGTGGCAGAACCAGAGACCCGCATCCTGGCAACTGGAGGAGCCTCCTCTAATAAGGACATTCTCCAGGTAATCACACCTGCATTCAGTGCACCTGAGTACAAGTCAATACACCTGGCCGATGTTCAACATACCTCATTCTCTAGCTTGCGACATCTGTATTCGAATAAAATATACGTTGGCAAGGCTTAATACAGAATGAGTGTGACTATCGATCCTCTCTTCAATGCTAATATTCACCATTTTACATTGAATTGGTTGATCAATCAGTGGCTTTTGTCGACAGATGTTTTTTTTCCAGAACCTCCGGTACACTCGCCTTGGGGACGTGCCAAAGCCGATGATCGCATGCCACACGTGATGACCATGATCGCGATGACGTGTCCATATGCGGTGTCACTCTGGCCTCTGCGGTGTCACTCTGGCTAAGAAGGGGACAGAGTGCCGCATTATATACCAGCTGGTGGCTGTTTCCCTAACTGGGTTAAATGGCGAATTTTTACTTGAAAAAAATTGATGGACTTGTTCAGTGTTAATCAAACAAAGCTCTCTATTTTAGTTTAGTCATAGAACCTCCTGCCCACTATGCCTGCCTTCTTACGATACATGTTCATGTTTAACACGGAATGCACATACACATACAGTAGCTATTTATGTGTGTATGCACATGTCCACACACACATGGAATGGTAGGTCTACGTGATAGTACATCGACATTTAAACCCTTGTTGCTGCTGCTGTTTGAAACTCTGCTAGCCTCTATAAATAAAACAATGCATTTGTTTTGAAGTGATGCTACACGTTGTATAATCTGTGAATGTTTCCTCCTGTATATTTGGATTTTGCATGTTCTCCCCGTGGTCATGTGGATTTTTATCCGGGTCCTCCAGATTTCTCCCTCCACATTTATAATCAATATCACACGTTTAGAGGATTTGGCTGCTCTACATTTCCACGTGATAAGCCACTTAGTTGGACTATTTTTTGTGGCCAGTTCGCTTCTGAAAAAGAGCTACGTAGCTCAAGTGGGCCTTACCTGGTAAAATAAAAAATAGTTTAGTTTTAGTTTAGTTATGAGTTTGACTGGGGGTAAGACTCGGGAGAGTGGGAGGTTAGGGAGAGCAGGAAAGTTCTGGGGAATTATAGAACACAGCTATTGCCACCACTCATGGTTCATGTTTGAATGATTTAGAGTGAATAGTATGTCCCAGTTAACAGTAACTTTGCATAACAATAGGAAGGGCTTAATGTAACGAGTGGGACAAGAGCTCAAACCATAGGGGCAGCTCCACCAGCAAAAAGTGTTAATCGCTGAAACCAAAACATTCTTAAAAATACAACAATGAAGACAAACCAGAACGGTACAGTTATATATTGTGGGAAAAAAAAACAACAATCATTCTACAAATTATTAATAAATACACTAACTGTGTAATAATCCTGAAAGGATACATTAAATCTGCAAACACAAGATCACTGTATGATTGTATACCCAGCTGTACTCTCGAACAGCAATACTTCGTCATTGGCTCTGTTGGCAGTGCAATTAACAATGATACATTTTTACGCACGCTATATTTCGTTCTGTAAATGATCTGTCAATACATGGGGGGGGGGGGGGGGGGGGACTTTACCTTAACCTATTTTTCAATGTTCACTTGATTCCTACTCATGGTCACTTGCAACGCATCAATTAATTAATTGGCACATGAGCGATTACCGTTAAATCTTACAATTACATCATGGTGCTTGAAACGATTCAAACAGCTGCTCGGGGCTGTGTGGTTTTTCCTATAACTCAGGACCAGAGTGCTGGGGGACTGCACTCACTCAAGGGATGTAAACGACTGTGAGTCTGTGATTCCCAGCTTGCCACGAAACTCTGCAGCATGCCCTATTTTAAAATCCCTATACGGTCATGTCGAATATTAGCCCGTGTCCTCGAGGACGGTAAGAGGATGCTGCCTCAGAATGTTTCTGGTTCCCGTAGGAGCGCACGTGGCATTTCTGAAATGTCGCGTGATTTATTGGGGCGGGCAGAAAACCTACACAGCAAAAGTAAACCATTGTGTTTTGAGCCTTTCTCTTTCCATGGGCGGTTGCACAAGGTCCTGGCAGACGTGTTTAACGTGCCTGTGTACACGTTGGACACCGCCAACTCAGCTTGCCTGGGAGCCGCCTACAGGGCCAAGCATGGTGAGTCCTGTACTTGGGTGCATAGCTGTCAGCTGTTCCGATATGAACAAAGCAAATCTTCCTCTTCATTGGGGCAGTAAATGTTCCCGGTGTTCCGTGTTTGAAATGCTCTAAAATGTGAGGTGGCCTGGTGGCTCAGAGGTCACAGTGTTGAGCTGGCACCGCTGAGAACCTCAGTTCGAATCCAGGCAGCCACCTGCGATAAAAAACGGTGTCTCAGATTTACTGAGTTGATGGTTTCAGCCTGGTCACTAATGATTCGCCCCCAAAAAAAGCAACATGTCAGTTGCAGAACGGGTGGGTAAGTGCTGCTCCCAATTATATGGACCAGAGGTCCCTAAAGAGATTTCAAAAGTAGCTCTGTGATATCCACTTTTGTGGGCTGTTCTCTTCACATGAAGGGCTACACAGCTGTGCAGTATGCCAGTGTTATGATAAAATTTGTGGGAGAGATGATAAGATATTTTAAGAAGTCCTCTATTATGTTACGATCGTACTATCAGCATCATGCCATGAGACAAATAAACCTATTTTTGGGACGCTCTGCCATGATTATTGCTTTGATTTGTGACACAGAACTCAGCTGTGGAAGATTACTTCACTTGTGAATGCATTTGAACACGGCTTTAGCTGGCACACATTTTATGCCCTGTAAACATTGCATCTCGTGTAATTAACATCTACATGGTATAATCCTGAGAGCTGTAATATGCACAATTGAAAACCAAATTTAATGTACTCTTTGGATCTTTCGGTAAAGCCACGTAGATAGAAAAATAATAAAAAAAAACAACGACGTTTTGATCGCAACACAAGCAATCGTCTTCAGGCGAAAGAATACACTGTATATACGTGACTTAACTGAAAGACCCAAAGAGTATGAATTCCTGCAGTCATGAAAGCTTTAAGTCAAATTTAATGTAATTGTTTATTGTTTCAGCCACTGATGAGTAGACTGAGAGCATGATCCCGCTACACTTGAGAAGCTGGCTTATTAATGGGTGGCAATCTCAGCTGTACAGGCTTAGGGCTGTAACATATATATTATGAGCTCCTTGGGCCATCCCAGTCACCTTGCGTCTACATATTTGTCACTATACTCAAAGGCAAAGCAAGAATGGGCAAGAGTGGGTGTGAATCAAACAATATGCGGGAAAGCTAAAACAAAAATTATCTCACAGTTCATCCGTAATGCATTGCCTATAGCACTTTGTAGGGCCCGAAGGGATTGTGTTGGAATGCATGTGCTTGTGCTCCTTTATTTCTCCCATGCATTTATATCAGCGTCTTGTCTTTCACAAATATTGAGGCACATCAGAGCCTACTTTTATTTTTAAATACAGCAGTGAAGTTTTTTGTTCCTGCCTTTGCTTGTATAACAAAGATAATGAAATGCATAACATCTTGCTTGAACTTTTTTGGGAATCAACTTAGCTTATTATCTCTTAGAGGCTGATTGGAAAAAAAATGTGTACCGCTGTGTTAGAAGTTGTTGTCCGATGCAAAGTCTGCCTCTTATCACAGGAATGTGGAACTATTCCCACTGCCTTAGCACAGCCAACAGAGATGAGCATTGAGAATCACTTGCTAAAATATACCTTCTTTTACTTGAATCTACGTGTGGTTTATTCCCTAATAAAACAAGGTCACTTTTTTTTTTACAGAAAATTCGCTAACGGTGGTTATGTTCAGTTTGTGCTGGGGGGTGGGTGTCGTCCGTGTTTGCAATCGGGGTTTGTTTTCAGCTTCCACTGCAGCAAAATAATTTCACATGTGGGAGCTCCTTCATGCCATTGTTCAAGGTCCATTGATTTTTGGACGCAAAGTGCAAAACAATAGGGGCCTCGTGTGGCGCCAACACTGCGTTGCTTGTCACAATGAAGGTTACTCTTTTAATGTAAGATTATACATCATGGTTCCTGAGCTGGTGGTTATTCCTGCCAGTCAAGTATTACCGACTTTGGTGTTCGAAATCACGCAATGTGAAAGCACAAAGTGACGTAATACAATTGAAATAACATAACGGTCCAATTTTGAATGTTTGAACGCGGACTCGCCTTCTGACATCTGTTTAATACCTGTTAAAAAGTTAGATTTTTTTTTAAAGACTTATGGCCAACGTTCTTAAACCAGCCACTTATTTCTGATACCATGCTCGCCCAGTGCTAAATATTGATGAATGCAGAAGCCAATGGGGGGAGGGGGGGGCAGGAAAATACCTCGGCGATATCCTTAATCAATGAACTCAGTGTAGTATTGGTGAATATTTTGCAAGTGATGCAAATTACGTTTGCTTACAGTGCAGCACGTTACAGAGGGACCCAGCAGATGGACTCGGCGCTAAGGCTAGCATACAGGGTGCTTCAAGATTTGTTTAACACTTCTGAGAATTTGCAACAACACCACGAGAAATGTACCTCAGGGCTCTGTAGAAGATTCCAGTCACGTGTTGACAATGATCGCGAACAAGTGGAGACACTTTGACTTTTTGAAGCTATTAACATACATTTGTTATCATGTTACAATGTATAATCTGTTTTGTTTTTTACATTCAAAACGATAGTCCCATATAAGTGTTCACAATTTTCTAAAGCACCCTGTACATTTAGCGTTTAGCGTATTTGGCTGATAGAAATTTCCACTTGACGAGCCATTTCTGCGAGCTGTCATTTGTGGCCAGGTCGCTTCTGAAAAATAACTAATGGCTCAGTGGGCTTTACCTGGTTAGATTAAAAAAAGTGTATTTTTAGTTTAATTACGTGTAGTTATTTGCTTACCTTTCCTATACTTTACACTCCTATCGTTTGTTTATCGATTGTTGTAATTTTCTGACCCACCCCTATTGGACATCTGTGAAAAAGATCTTCATAGCTCATCAGATTTCTCCAGTCTAAATAAACATTCTGATTCTGACATATGCTGCACTAATTACACTTATTGAGCACTGTTCCTTCAAAAACTGATAACTGAGCTCATTCAACCATACCTAGCACGGAGGCCAAATGGAGTCTCTGTTTATGTTAGTTATAGGAGGAATAGCTGAAAGGTTCTAAAGAACGTTAACTTGATTTGGCAAATACACACCTACAAAAAAAAGCAGCACTGGTTTATTTTGGTGATATTTCTCAATTGATGCAGCTGTTCTCTCATTTCCTCTCCACACCGTTGTGTCAGACCACGGTGAGTATTTAAATCCCTTTCATGTGGAACTTCACCGAGGTGCAGTCCTATTCCGCATTAATTTCGCAAAATGTACATTGATGAACTGAACTGAATAACCACATTCGTGCTTAAAAACATGCAATGTGCACATGCAGCACCTTGTCAATCCACTTCTGGATGAAGGTCTCCCCATCCCGCGCAGGTCGTCGGATTCGTTTTACCTTGCTTCACCACGTTGACCAGTGTGGGTTGTTGAAGGCTGGGAGCATCGGAGCACAGGGCAACAATGGATGTTTCTGCAGTGCCCTCTACTTCCCACAACCTAGCTCCGCAGCCTATAACACCGGTTATACAAACAAAAACGAATCTAAAAACTATTTTATTTTACTATTTAAGGCTCATGTTCTCCCCGTGGTCGCATGGAGTTTTCTCCGGGTCCTCCCAATGGCGGAGCCAGGATTTTCAGGTAGGGAGGGGGCAACCTCTCCAGCAATAAAAAATGATAGATAGGAGTTGTTAGTAATAAGTAAGGACTTGTTAGTGAGTAAGGACTTGTCCCTTGCTTTCTATTCGACGCGTGTGCGGCGATGGCGCAGACATCGATCGAGGGTCGAATTCGAACCGCGTTGTGTGATCGGCATCGCGCTCGCTGAAGGTGTCGATGCCTTCAGGGAAGTCGTGGACTCTGTATAAATGTCCACATGATAAGCCACTTCGTTGAGCTATCATTTGTGACAAGGTCGCTTCTGATAAAGAGCTATATAGCTCAGTGGGCCTTACACACTTATAAATTAGGTTCAAATCAAGGCAGCCACCTATGAACACATGATCAGTCCAGTTCTCCAGCATACCGCAGTATGAATTGTTATACAATTTATTTCATTTGGCCCAGCAATAAGGCAAAAAATTGTAAATTGGATGTTTGACGTGTTACCATCCGCTGTCGATGCAGAATTGAAGGAGTGCCGTCTAGTTTTGGCTATCCCGTACTAAGACATGAGGCGCTGCTAACTGGGAAAGTTCCACGGAGTAATTTCTTCGCTTCTTAATTGCAGTTCTTTCGTTACACACTTGGCATATATAGCGTTTGTTTATACAAATCAAGAACACGTTTAAGTGAAGGATATTTTTTTGATAGAGCTCGGGGCTCATGTTTGTGTTGCTAACAGAAGCCTACAACACCCAAGTTACACTCGGGAGTATAGACTTAGATATGTTTCTAGTTTTGTGTCTATGCGTGACAGATGCACAGACAGAGGCAGAGAGAGAGAGAGACAGCACACATCTAATTTGAACCAAGGGCTACTCTTCTCAAGTGCCAATCAATCCTGCCATCCTTTTTGGGCTTTGTGGCATTTTATGTGACAGGTTTTTTTTACATACACGTGCCTATTTACGCTGGTATTGCAGTGCCTGAAAGAAGCACATGGTTAATGAGAATTTGAAATATCAGCTAGATATACTGAAAACAATTACTGCTGTGTTCTGCAGAAATTTATTCAGAAATGTATTCTGCTCTGAACAGTTCAACGTTGTATGCGATGTTTGCACAAAATGACAAAACACCCTCCATTTAGTCTGATAGACTTCAGGAGAAAAGTGCTGTCAGTGAGCACCTATTGAGGCTAAGTGGTGTGGGGTCAGCTCCCAAGTTCTGATGAGTTGAACTAGAGGAGGGCCGCTGCATATTCACATACCACGTGCTGCTAGTGTGAAGAGTTGTTCTCATTAGGTATAACCATAACTGGAACAGCAGCGCTCTATATGGTCAGGGATTGGACAGGGGGAGTATGGTGGTTAGTAGGTGTGTAGCAATGCTTCCACTCACTGATGAATAT